TTTTTCTTCGCATAGGAATTTTTATACGCATTCCTTTAAAGGTTCAGTTTGGCACAATTTATGAAGCAAGGCGAAAAGGGACAGTGTTAGGAAGACATAAGACAATATTTCCTTTTGCTTTAAAATATCTGTGTTTGTTAGAACTTAAAGATCGTGCTGTATAAAGAATGTGGATTTATTTATGTTATAGATAGTTTTTTTATGAGAAATAAGTGTGAAATGTTGTTTATTGAATAATGGAATCTCATAATGAAACGACGGAAGCAGAAGTAAAAGCGTTGGACACAGAATTAAAAGATAATTGTAGGGGAAGTGATGATCCAAACAAAAAAGGTTATTGTTGCCAAAAGTCAGGCGGGCCGACTTTATGATACCGCAAAACACTTTGCATACTTAGTAGAGCAATCCATAACAAATAAACGTTTTTATAGGGAATTTATGAGATTTATGAGAATAAAATTATACCAAATACGATATGGCTTTAGAGTAACTAATATATGGGAGAAATATCCTCCTCTTAATATCTATTAATTTGACGGAGGCATTTGTGTCAAAATCCATTCTATTTGAGCTGATGTTACGTTTAGGCACAATAAACGTGAAATCAGATAAAGATATATATGGGAGCTATATCCAAAACTAAACCGATCTCTATAAAATTTAACAGAGGTAGTTTTATCCTGTTTCTGATAGATCGGATCAAATATCGTTGTTGTGAAGAGAATTTAACGAGTGTGAGGTACTTAAATACAAACTCGGACGAAACATATATATTGGATCTATAGCTATATCTTAACCGATTTTCATTAAATTTGATACACTTTACTTTATTCTAGACCGAATTCGTTTGTATGTATCAAAATCCATTCGATTCGATAAAGGCTATTTCTGAGCTACATTTGATATATTTCCCGAAATATCGTTGTAACGGAGTGCATATTACGACTGTGGCGAACAAAAAATAACAAACCGGATGAATAATATATATGGAAGGTATAGTTATATCTGAACGATTTTCACCAAATTTTACATACTTATTTTAGGTTTAATTTGGTCGTATGTGTCAAATTACATGCTATTTAGATTAATATAACACATTTGGGACACAATAAAAGGCAAATCGGAAGAAACAATATAAAGGAGCTATATCTAAATTGATATTATCGATTACATCCAATTTCAATACGGATTATCCTTGGGCTAAACAAATGATTTTTGCAAAATTTACAGTTAGAGATCTGGTTGATGGAACTATGGTTCATCTTGACGAACTATGGTTCTATCTCGCTGGCTTCTCCTTGTTACAAACAAATGCACCAAAACCACAGGATTTTATCAAACGGAAATGGCATAAATGGAATATAATTTAGACAATTATATTTAATGGGAAGATTATAATGTTCTCAAAAATAAGCAATAAACACTAAAACAAAGGCACAGCAACGCGGACCGGATCATCTATATATATTTTTAAGTACATCTTTCAATTATATTGAATTGCCTAAGCCACATAATGCAATCTTATGTCAATGAATCTATCAAATTGCCGACTTTTAGATCATTGATGTTTTTCTTGTTTAGGGGGTTTAAGGTTTCATTCGCGGAATCGGTAGAAATTTCTCAATCAAATTCAATAAAATCGGCTGCAATTTTGATTTCATACCGTTTAGAAATCATGCTGTAAGTTATTTAGTTTTGTCCACCACATGATTGAAGGCATATAGAGGACAGCTCAACTTTACTTGTATTCTATGACCTCAATCATAAATATTTTTTAGGGACATACAGAGAAGAATTCTACTTCAATTAAACTATGTCCATCTGTCTGTCTGTCCGCCTGTCCCTTGAGATCATGAAAGAGGTCCCAATCTTTTAATATATCTTTGAAAGAAGCACAGGCCATTGTGCATGTTCCCGCCGAGTTAGCTCTAATATCCAGTTTTGAGATATATCTTTTCCGGCCATAATTATATACATTGATTTGCGGACGTAGCCAGAAATATAAAAAAATCAAGAAAACTGTTTAGAAAATATCCAAAAGTTTACCTGGCTACGTAGGTGTACAGCCTTTTTAGTGTTTCACGTTCTTACAGGTGAATTTATTGGCTATGGCCCTTTAATAGTGGTATCCCTTGTGATATCATGCACTTCACGAAATCCAATCTCAAAAATTTTGCATTTCGATTTCTTATTGGATGACATTTGCATACGAAAATAGAAGGTTCGCGTTTTAATCTATATATAGATGCGTTGGTCCTTCTTGGACTGAAATAACTGATACACTGATTTGATTTGCTTAACTTTTTCAATGTGAATTCAAAGCCAAAGGATAATATGTCCAATACAAAATAGAAAGTCAAATGGAAAAAAATTAATTGTGATACAAATAAATGACAAAAAAATAACAAACTAATGACAAATTGTACCCAAATTATTTACATTTTTCGTGCCATATTTTTTAACGATTTTATACTTTTCTGCTTTTCTGCCAAAAAAAATCATCAAAATAAATATAGGGAGGTACCATGGGGGTTATAAAACTGGCACCTGCACAGACAATTTTCTGTCATAGGCTGTAGTATTCATTATGAAATTCAAATAGCAAATTTGAAATAGTTCCGGTGAATAATGTCGCTAAAATCATCAAAATACCGAATATCGGGGGTACCGTTATATGGGGGCTATACGAAGACATGGACCTGTACAGACAATTTTCTGTCATAGGCTGTAGTATTTATTACGAACTTCAAATACAAAATTTGAAATAGTTCCGGTAAATAATGTCTCTAAAATCATCAGAATACCCAATATCGGGAGGTACCGTTAAATGGGAGCTATACGAAGACGTGGACCTACATGGCTCATTTTCTGTCTTAGCTAGAGTGATTTCCACAGACGGACGGACATTGATAAATACACATAGAATTTTATGCTGATCAAGAATATATATACTTTGTGGGGTCTAAAATGTATATTTCGAGGTGTTACAAACGGAATGACAAACTTAATATACCCTCCATACTATGGTGGAGGGTTTAACAAGTACGAAAAGCTATAGTCGTGCGGGGCCGACCATGTGTCCAAATCCATTTTGGAGGATTTCGCTTTTGATATTATGTCACGGAGCACTGCCTAGATATAACCCTTAACATTTTGGGAGATTTGTCCAATATTTACCCACTCCGTCGTGCTGTTTGTTGTTGTGGTCCATTATACAGCTAAATATAATCCAATGGTCATCCAAAATGCTAGAATTCTTCCCTGCCTTAACTCTCTTCTCAGGCGTGTCTATTGGCTTAAATTGTGTGATAAGGAATTTTTTTTCTCTTTTTGGTCCATTTCAACCCCTAAATATGTTGAGGACATCTTTGAAAACAATATGCCTAGCTCTACTGATCCTAACCCTACCCATGTGAAAATTTTCGTGAGGATCGGACGATATTTGTAATCTGTATGTAATATCCCCAACCTGTGTTGTAAGGTGAACAAAATTTTACAAAATATACACTTCAATATTATAAGTCAAATTGAAAAAAATAAATAAATAAAAAAAATATCACAAAATGCTACAAAATCTATATTAACATCATTATTGGCATCTTTTTATGCGATTTCTTTTTTTTTTTCGATTCAATTCTTTTATGCCAAGAGGGCATTTGTCAAAATCGGTCCAACCATTCTTGAGTTATATTATTTAAAATGCTTTGAATATACACATTGTTTATATTTCGCTGTATATATCCGATATATTTACTATGGGCATCTACGTTACGGTCAGGATTGACCATTTCGTCTATTTATGATTTCGCCGGGATTAAAAATATTCGCGATTTACCCAATGACCATCAAAATTGGAAGACTTCCGCCAAGCCCTAAGCTCTAGACCTATGCTAACTTCTGAGTCGATTGGTCTATAATTGTGACCTGTAAAGCAACTGCAAAATCAGGAAATTTTTCAGTTTTTGGTCCATTTCAACCCCTAAATATTATGCGATCATCTCCAAAAGCAGTAGGTTTCTATTCTGGCCCTAGCCCATCTATATTCTAAATTACTTGAAGATCGGGTCATAATTGCGACCTGTAGAGTGATTACAAATTAACATGGACAGACGGACGGACTGATATACATAGCTAGATTGACTCAGCTCGGCGAGATAGGAACATCCATATTCCTATGTAGGAAACCAATATTTCAAGGCTTTACATAATTTTTGGCCCAATCAAACTTACAATGCCCCCAACAAATAGTGTTGTAGGGTATAATTTGAAAATTCATATTTTGGTAATGGGAATTTTTATTGGAATGCTATATCCCAACGCGATTTTATTCAAAACAATTTTTACGAAATAGTTAAATGCATATTAACATTACAATCATGTTTAAAAATTAAGTTTGCATATGTAGCGCTAACATTTGGAACCATTTAAAAATAAAAATGACTTCGTCATTAGTACAAAGAAAAACGAAAACAATAACAACTTTAATGGGATCTAATTCTGTCTACAAAAATCAAACAATTTTATGGAATCGCATCGAATATTTTTGCTGTAAAGCGAAACTAATTTAACTTCGGTTGGGTTTACCTTTTAATTTCCAGAATGCATTTTTACACCCACTCAATAATTTGTTACCTTCTTGCCATTCTCATTCAATGACCTACATTTTCGATCCAATGGCAATCTGATTTTTGGTGTTTGCTATTCAATGCATTGCAAGTTGCAAATGTATGTATTTCAATGCGAGTATGTTTGGAAATGGTCAATACCATTGTTTTTAATCCTCTGGTTGCCCTAACCACACAACAACAATTTCAAGATTTTGCACAAATCTTTTATAAAACCACCATTTGTTTGTTTGAATAGATTCTTCGAATTGGAAATAATTCTAAATACAAATGGAACCAGACAAAGGACAACAGAAAAAGGAATAGACCACACAGAATTAAGTACATCCGCAAAATAACGAATCGATAGTAAATTTTATTTTTTCCATCTCTTACGGGTTGTCGTGGCGGTTGAATGCTGGCAGCTCTCCAAATATTTGTAGAATATGATGGTTTAATCGCATTCAGCATTTGCGAACCTTTTCTCAGCAGAACATTCATGTTGCCGAAATGGTTTTTTACACTAAACTTTTGCTTCGAAGAAATTTACAGCAATTCAATGTTGCATCAGAATTTTAACATGTATTTGGTATTTGTCCTTTCTTCCGAATTCAACCGCTCGAATTTGTTACTGTACGGTTTAACAAGACGCTTTAAACTAAAGTCCAGCTGATAAATTTGCTGTAAAACAAACGACTGTCCACGGTCTTACTGATAATAGCGAGTTCTATATTACGTAGATCGTTTGTTCGTTTGTACTTTCAGACTACACAACAGAAAAAAGCGGACAAAACCGAAAAAATAATAACAAACGAAATACAAACAACTCAAAGAGCATGTGAAGTGCAAGTGATAATTTCCCCGATTCACTTTGCCCGTCTGGAATTGTATTCATTGAATTAGACAGCGCGTTATCAGTTACAAATATTTAACAAATCGTTTTATAAGAACATGCCCCATTGGGCATACATATGTACACATGCATGTACATATGTACACAATACAATCAACTAACAATCCAACTATGTACACTCATTGACGCTTTCAATTTTTTACTGAGATTTGCTAAGCTATACCCTTATCAATGGGAGCACAAGAAGTTAAACCAGCAATTGAAGAGTGAAGTTGAGTTGATGAAAGTGTTGGGGTCAAACATTCATATGTATAAACAAATACAGTTTGTCACAAAAAATGTTATCACATCAACAAAGCGAAAGTACATCAAAATCTTACAAATTAGAACAAAATAAAAATATTAAATTTTATAAAATTAGACAGCGGACTACAAATTGTTTCACTAAAATTGCCCTGTTCAACAATAAGTCTATAAGAGGAAATCGTTTGAAGTTTGATTGTAATCTACGGACTCAAAAACCGCTAAACAGATTTTCTTGCAAATTTCCAAACAAGCCACAGCATCGCCTGAAAGTAAAATAGGAACTGGGGATATGGCATCAGAATTAGAGGTATCTCCAAAAAATTTAAATTTGGTATGCACACATAAATAGGGTGAGATGAAAAAACTGCAACCAACTTCAGATTGCTGTCATTTCTAAGCCACTCGTCCGACAGCTGTTAAAATTATTCCAGAGACAGCTCATTATATTTTTTACAAGCGTAAAAAAGCATTTTGGTGGGAATTTTCAAGAAAATAAAATGCTTTTTGTGATGGAATTCAAGCGTGATAGTGTGATTTCTTTATATTTGACTGGAAAACCACAAGTGGCTATGGTTAGAGCACTCCAGCATTTAAATGTGAATAAATCTTTTGTGTGTTGTATCATCGCTCGTTACCGTGATACTGGTAGCGTATCCCGACGTCAATTAAGTGGACGGAAGAAAACAGCAACATCAGCTGAAATGGTTCGAAAAGTAAAGAAGCGATTTGATCGAAATCCACGCGCAGTGGCCGAAAAATGGCTCGTAAGCTGAACATATCGCAATATTCCATTCGGCAAATATTAAAAAATGAGCTCGGGGTAAAGCCATTGAAATTACAATAAGTGCAAGAACTTACGTCGCCACGATGGTGATGGCCTTTCGTATTAATCGACCGTGGCATCAAAATAAATGCTGAATATTATCGCGAAAAAATTCTGTAGGGTGTATAAAAGCCTTGGGCACGCAAACATTTTGGCCGCAGACCTTAGACTTTCCAACAGGACTCAGCACCATCGCACTCGGCACCCGTCATCCAAGAATACTTACAAAATGAGGTTCTTCACTTCATTTCCAGCGCACAATGGCCTCCCAAATCTCCGGATACCAGTCCGTCGGACTATTATGTCTGGAATATTTTGGAAAGCAAGGTTGGCACTAAAAAATATCAAAGTGTCGATTACCCCAAGCAAGCGCTTCGCCGGGAATAGGTCAAAATACCACAAAGCAACATTCGGCTACGTGTGACGGTTTCATTGGCCGTCTGAAGGCCATAAATCGAGCCAAAGGTGACCAATTCGAACAAATCTAAACTTATTCTAAAAATTGATGCTATTTCCGACATTTCTTTTCTTTCATTGAATAAAGTTTAAAAATATATATATATAAATTATGGCGTTTGACTTGTTGCAGTTTTTTTTATTTCACCCTCTATATCTATAAAAGAGGAAAACGGCATACAAATTTTTTTGCAAATTTCCAAACAAGCTACAGCATTGCCTGAATGTAAAATAGGAACTGGAAATATGACATCAGAATTTGAGGTATCTCCAAAAAATTTAAATTTTGTATGCAAATATCGTCTAATCGGTTACATACACAGTTTTCAAATAAAACAAATTTGGTAAAAAAATATTTGTTTTATATAATCTACTAGCTGAACACGGTGCGCTTCGCTACCCCTTTTGATTTTATATGCATTCAGAATTTTATTTACGATCATATGTTGGATAAAGAAAAACAAATTTAAAAATTAAAAAAAAAAAATATTGCACTAATTTAATGCGTTAATAAACAAAATCATTACAAAAGCAGTAACATGACATACATACACGAAGGATTTATTTATTTCATAGCAAATACCAAGCGTGCAGGAAACTGCAATTTTTTTAAGTAGAGTGGTTTTTCTATTGCAATTAGTGAATTCGAGATAGCAACATACTTCGCCGTAATAAGCGTATTTCAAATAAATTGTTGTGTTGTTTTTTAGTGTTAGCCTAAGGCGTTGTGGGTCAATGGTTCTTATTAAAATCATATCCCAATCTGATCCGATTTAAATATAATTTTAAAAAAATTACTTTTACACAAAACTCCGCCACACCTTTCTTAATTCATTGAAATTGGTGCGTCAAATATGTAAAATCGGCCAGGAATATATATATGGGAGCTATATCCAAATCTTAACTAATTGCAATTAATTTATCACATTTATTATTATAACCAAATTCCACCATACATTCTGAATTTCATTGGAATCGGTCATATATATCGTGTTTGGTGTATAATATGTATGAAATCGGCCGAAATATATATGTTAGCTATATCCAAACCTCAACTGATTTCAATATAATTTGGCAATTTTTTCTGGTGCCAGATTTTGTCTCTCTCGCTTTGGGTGCATCAAATATGTGAAATCGGCTGATTATATATTTGGGAGCTATAATCACATCTGAGCGTATTTGAATATAATTTGTCAAATTTATTTTTGTACCAAATTTAGCCACTCATGCCGAATTTCGTTGGAATCGGAAATACGTATCGTGTTTTGTGCATCAAATATGTGAAATCGGCGGAAAATATATATGGGAGCTATATCCAAATCTGAACCGATTTTAATATAATTTGACTAATTTATTTTCTAATCAAAATCCCGTTACATATTCCAAATTTCTTTGGAATCGAACATACATATCATGTATGGTGCATAAAATACATGAAATCGGTCGAAAATATATATGAGAGCTATATCCAAATCTGAACCGATTTTAATATAATTTGACAAATGTATATTTGTTTTAATTTCCGCTACACATTCAAAATTTCATTGAAATTAGAGATACATAGCGTGTTTGGTGCATGAAATACATGAAATCGGTCGAAAATATATATGGGAGCTATATCCAAATCTGAACCGATTTCAATTTAATTTGACAAATTCATTTTGGCTCCCAATTCCGTTACTTATTTTAAATTTCATTACAATTGGAAATACATGTCGTGTTTGGTCCACCAAATACATGAAATCGGCCGAAAATATATATGGGAGCTATATCCAAATCTGAACCGATTTCAACATAATTTAGGAAATCAATTTTTTAGATAAAATCTATCACACGTTTCAAATTTCATTGAAATTGGGGATACATAGCGTGTTTGGTGCATCAAATGCTTGAAATCGGCCGAAAATATATATGGGAGCTATATCCAAATCTGAACCGATTTCAATATAATTTGACAAATTTATTTTCGGATTAAATCCCGTCACACATTCCAAAATTTCATTGGAATCGAACATTCATATTGTGTTTGAGGCATCAAATGAACGAAATCGGTCGAAAATATATATGGGAGCTATATCCAAATCTGAACCGATTACAATATAATTTGGCAAACTTATTTTTGTTCCAAATTCCGTTACGTATTCCAAATTTGGCGACTGTATCTTCAACCAATCAATAGATATGTGCATATAAAATCTAAATTTTTGGGACGTACCTCCGATTCTGATGCTATATCTCCAGTTCCAAGTGGAAATTCAAAAATGTATATAGCCTATGTTACTTTCAGGAGATGTTGCAGTATATATGGTAATTTTCAGGAAAATCTATTCGGCGGTTATCGAGTCCATAAATTACAAACAAACAAACAAACATACAAACATTTTCCTCTTTTATAGATATAGATATTGAAATCGCTGAAAGTTTTGATATAGCTCCCACATATATTTTCGTCCGATTTCGTGTATTTGATGCACCAAACACGCTCCAATTTCAATGAAATTTTGAATATGTGACGGATAAACCAATTTGACAAATTATGTTAAAATCGCTTGAGGCTCGGATACAGTTCGTATATACATTTTCGGTCGATTTCGTACATTTACTTGCAACATTAAATAAAAATCGTCAATAGATTAAGTACTCCAGTCATGCAAAATCATAATTGGGTACAATGGCCCACAAAAATTATTTGCATGCTCTAGATAGTTCTTTGCAAGGTTTGAGAAATAACTCGCACTCTTTAGAGAAACGTTGGTTTTCATATCTGGATATTTTAGACAAGCGCTGCCTGTTATTCTACGATGCATATTAGCATATAAATTAATGCAAGCCTAAAATCATATTTTCTTTGGAAACATGTTCGTACATTGAAACTGACGATTAATATGCGTAATGTAACCAATCATCCAAGTATTTATATATATATATATGTGTTTTTCAAAATTTAGATTTCTATTGAAATTTAACAATTTCAAAAATTTGAAATTCGCATTCATTTTATACCCTCCACCAAAAAAAGTATTGAGGGTATATTAAGTTCGTCATTCCGTTTGTAACTCATCGAAATAATCATTTTAGACCCAACAAAGTATGCAATTTGTCAAATAATTCTTTGCAAAATTAAAAAAATTATTTTTTTTCATATATAAAGTAAAAATTTATTAAGAAAACTAATTTTTTTAAATTTTTTTCTTTTACTATATATTAGATTTAATAGTAAATATTGATATTAATAAAAAAAATTATACGTTTCT